CGCGGTCTCGCCCCAGCTGAACGGCACGTATGGCGACGAGGCATTCCTCGCCGCTACCGCCCACTTCCTGTCCCATCATCCGCCTTCCCCTGGTCCCCCTGCGCCTCCCGCTGATCCTGCTCCTGCTCGAGCGGAGCGCGTTTCTTTATGTTCGGCGATGACGGGCGTCATGGGGGGGGGGGGGAGGGCGGGGGAGGGTATGACGTGACGCCCCCCCCCCGCCGTGTGGCTCCGGCACCACAGCCGCGCCCGCGCGCACGACGCGACGAGCGACGAGCGACGAGCGACGACGACGGCGCGAGCAGCATGTAAGGTGGCGATCTGCCCATTGCGCCTGTGTACACCACAACGCTCGCGTGCACCACACCGCGCGTGTGCACCACAACGCCTGCGTACACCGCAACAGCCGTGTGCAACGCACCTCCCGTGTATACCACAATTTTTGGGAGCACTACAGCGCTGGTGTACATACGCCGCAGCAGCCATGTGCAACACAACGCCTGTGTACACCACTGTGCTTGCTTGCACCGCAGCGCCTGTGCACGCCACAGCGCCTCTACACCTCAGCATCCGCGTGCAACGCAGCGCTGGTGTACACCGCAGTGCCTGCGAGCATAGGACAGATAGAAGAAGCATGTACGTCAGGATCTGTTGCGGACAACTAAACGCCACACCAGGAAAGTTCTGATAATCGAATGCGACGTTTTTCCCTCATCCTTCCTCCTCCACCTCCACCTCCTCCTCCTCCTCCTGCTCCTCTTCCTCCTCCTCCTCCTCCTCCTCTTCCTCCTCCTCCTCCTCCTCCTCCTCCTCCTCGTCCTCCTCCTCCTCCTCCTTTTCCTCCTTTTCCTCCTTTTCCTCCTTTTCCTCCTTTTCCTCCTTGTTACCCCCTGTCGTGCGGTTTGGCGTTACAACGCACGTGTGCATCTCAGCGTGCACCGCAGAATGGTCGATTGAATCGATCCACTTGGTTCTCGGACGGCCAGTTTAGATGGCCTCCTGGACGCAAATGGGAGTTAGGGTGATGCGGGCGGACTCGGGGGGACTCTTAGATTCCAGCGGCGCGCCTTCGTCCATGAGGATTTGTTTTCCATTCTTTTCTCTGGAATCCACACGCGCTCCATTTTGTCACAAGGATTCCTTCTGAAATTCTGTGCTCAACAATGGTGCTGTGTTGCACACGGCTGATGTGGTGCACACGCGCGCCGTGGCGTACACAGGCACTGCAATGCACGCAACATTGTGGTGTACACTGGTGCTGTGTTGCGCACGGCTGATGCGGTGTACGGAAGCGCTGTGGTACACAAGAGCTGCTGTGCCCGCAGGCACGGTGGCACAAACTGACGCTGTGTTGCACGCGGCTGCTGTGGTGTACATGGGCGGCGTGGTGTACACAGGCGTTGTGGTGCACGCGGGCAGTGTGATGTACACACGCGTTGTGGAACAGATCGCCACCTACATGTTCGTGCTACCCGTCCTCCGTCATTCCTAAGCATTCCCAGACGCCGCCGGCGCGAAACGTGACGTCATCGACCCCCTCCCCCCCAGATGATTGCCGTCATCGGCCCGAACTTAAAAACAGGTTCCAGCCGCGTCCGCGCGCACGACGACGATGAGCGACGAGCGACGAACCACGAGCGACGACGACGGACGAC